CTCTTTTTGCTGATGACTCAACTTTATACTCCTGTCTTGACAAAAAGTCTTCTCTTTTCGATCGCCTAGAACAAACAGCTGATCTTGAATCCGATCTCACTTCAGTAATAGATTGGGGTTCACATTGGCTTGTGAATTTCAACTCTAAAAAAACCCAATTGCTTTCTGCAAACAACTACCGTAATATGGTCAACATTCCTATATTAATGAATGGCAATCCTCTTACTGAGTCGTCCTCTTTACGTCTTCTTGGATTATCGCTTACTACTGACCTTTCATGGAAACCATATATACAATCGATTGCTAAATTAGCTTCTGCTAAGGTTGCTTCTCTTTATCGTGCTCGCCATTTCCTTACTTCTGATTCCATTCTCTACCTCTACAAATCTCTTATTCGTCCCTGTATGGAATACTGTTGTCATATTTGGGCTGGTTCTTCTAACGATTCACTCTCTCTTCTTGACAAGGTCCAAAAACGCATTGTAAATGTTGTTGGACCTGGACTATCTGCTAAGCTTGAACCTCTTTCCCATTGTCGTAAAGTTGCATCTCTTTCTCTTTTCTACAGATACTATCATGGTCACTGCTCAAAGGAGTTATCATCTCTAGTTCCATCAACTAAAATTCATTCTCGTTTTACTCGTCATTCAGCTAAGTCTCATTCGTTTTCTGTATCTGTCCCTGCATGCTCTAAAAACTTTTATTCATCTAGTTTTTTTCCCCGCACTTCAATCCTTTGGAACTCTCTCCCATCTTCATGTTTTCCTGACTCATACAACCTTCAATTTTTAAAGTCTTCTGTCAACCGTTTCCTTGCTCTATAACTCTGTTCTTTTTTTTTTCCTAGTAACTCCCAACTTAATAGTGGTTGGTTGCAGCCTTGTTGGGAGTGAATGCAAATAAAAAAAAAAAAAAAAAAAAACAACAAACAAACAGAAATGTCATTTTTTTAACATTTTCCTTAAAATCCACACTAAAGGGGCTTCTTTTTTGATTACATAAATATAGAGAATAGGGTGCCCAGAATCACATTTTTACCTTCTGATTCGTACCTCCATTAGTTCCATATTAAACTGTATTTCCAAATTTAAATGCATTTTGATGTTTTCTATTTGGATCAAGCTACTCACAATGGTTCATCAGACAAATCTAATCATTGCTACTCTTGATGTTGAAAAGGATAACATTGAAAATCTATCAAATGACATTCAAAAGTTTAGTGAACAGTTTGATAAGTCAAAAGAAATATTGGTATTTCATGTGAGTTGTTAAGTAATCGTCATTTGCCAAGTCAAGATGATGCTGAGCTGTATTTTAAAATCAATGTATATTTTGTCGTCATTGACTCGATTTAAACTGGCCTCACGCAACAATTACAAAAATTTGTAAATTTTTGTAATTGATGTGTGAGGAAAAGTAATTCTTGGATATGGTCTTTCAGGTGTCCTTCTAAACATTACAATTGAATTGCATATTTTTATCAGTTTGCCTGCATCAATGGCTTCAGGTGAATGCACATTTATTGTTTAAAATGCTATGCTGAATATAAATTG